CATTCTGTCTCTCACTTGTTGAGGTGTACCTACGATGAAAATTACAGAACTGTCCATTCTCTGTAAGTGGGAAAACTTGAAAAATCGGCAGTGTATCAAATACTTACTTGCCCCACTGTAGGTGTGCATATATGAAATATGTGTATGTGCTTGTCTTTGTGTGTTAACAACAGAACATTTAACAAATGTTAGCATGATAATAAACTTAACCCATGATTTTAAATAGGGGAAGAGTCCTAAAGTAAGTTACCATGACATAAAATCATGCTGCAGACTAATACCAGCAGGTAAAACTTGTCCTGAGTGATTCCTGCCGTCTCTCTCACAGACACAGAGTGAACAAAGGACAGACTCCAGTCGACCACATGAACATCATCTTCTCTGTGAGGAGTTCACCACTAAACCAGTATGTCTTATAAAACCATGCTTGTTGGGAAGACGCCCTAAACAGCCGTTGTCCACGACCTGCTCAGCAGCAGACAGACGCAGTCAGAGACCAGCTGGGGAACACGGTGGAGATTTACTGTGGGTATGAGCATCCTCATGGATGAACTAGCTGCGACTGCTCACACTGACCAGATCTCCGCTGCAGTGGTTCTTCTTCTCTGGCTGTCTCTGCTCTTTAATTTTCCCTCCCAGTTTGTACCATTTGTCTTTTCCACATCCCGGCTTCTCCTTGTTTATTACGAACAGTCACCTTCACATCTACATGTTGCATGTTGTGAGTTGTATTGAGAATCACAGAGCAGATGAGCTGTTTCTGTTTCATATGACTGTGCCTCATTTGAACCTAACACTTCACATTTGTTGGCATTAAGTCTTCATCCTTTGGCTTTGTGTGAAGCACACCATTAGTTTTTGTTCCTCTGAACTCTCAGGGTCGGAGGTTTTATGGCACTTGGTCTGATGTGACATAATCAGAATGAATGGCCTAAATTCAGGAGCACGTGGCTGCCAGTCAGAGAGAGAGAGAAGATTAATGAATGAAGCAGAGGCACAGTGACTTTCAACAGCAGACTTCACATCCTAAACAGGCATCAGAGCTGAGTTAAAGGAGGCAGAGACATTTAATATCTCATCAAATGTCAAATGTTAGCCCCACAGAGAATTCTATTAGGAAACCACGTGATTAATGCCAAAGATCAGCATGTTGTCATGATTCTGTCCCGTTTGCTTCCTGTCATGCTTTTATTTTGACACTACTTCCTGTCCCCAGCTCACCCTGACTCCTGGGAACTTTAGCTCATTATCCAAATTTGTTTCACCTGCTTCTGATTACCCACACCTGCTAACAACAGTATATAGTAGCTGCTCACCCTGTTGGAAGCTGCCAGATTGTTCTAACCCATGTCAGACTTTTCAGTGTTTTTCCTTGTGCCTGGTTTTTCCTTGTGCCTGGTTTTTCCTGTTTTGACCCCGGATTGTATTTTGACAATTGTGTTCTGCCTTGCCCTCCTGATTAAGACCGCTTTTTGTGTATGGATTATCGGACCCTGGATTGTATTAATGACCTGAGAGTGTGTTTCGTGTTTTACGTAGTTCTCTATCATTTTTTTTTCCAGTGTGCTGATTAAAGAGACGGTGTTTTACTTTTTCTCGTCTGGCTCTATAATTGAGTTCACCCCTCGACATTATCGGCAGGTTCACGCGTTGATTCTTGATACATGTCTAACCCACATAAAGCTGTTCTGATGACTAGGGATCTATAATCTGTGGAGGTTTCTGGTAAACTGGCTCAATGGTTAATTATTAAATCCAGTTGGAATGATGGTGGGGATCAGGCTGCACATACTCAACAGTTGTACACATAGTGTAACTGTGCAAACACATGTTGGACTGTAGATGTGGGATTTTTTTTTTAGCCTATATTTATCCTCCTTCAGTCAAATTGTCTTGTTAAAAGTTATTAAATGAGCAGTAATCAGCTTCTGTGTGCAGTGTAACCACAGATGTACAGCCTCACTGGATCACTGTGACAAAATGTTAAAGCATGATGATTCTCGGGCAGGTTGTGCAGTTATAATGACCATCTTTCTCTATGACCTACTGTATAAGTGCAGTTATGAGTGTTTATCTGTGAGGACATCAGGGACAACAATATCCTGGGGCGGTGACTAAAAAATATGTGTTGTGTGTACGTGTCAAATGCAACTGTCATAGGAATGCAGGAGGCGTCATCTGAGAACTCATTGTCCAGTTCTCTTTACAGTTCTGGCATAAAGATGGAAGGAGAGGAGAGGAACACTTACAGGAAAAGCCAAAGGCTGCTGAAAGGGTGACACACTGTACAGTAACTCTTCTTATGTGCAGTGTAATTTTTCTTGGCTCAGGAGTCGTCTAGAATGCATTAGATTCAAGATCAGTGGGGAAAAACTAAGTACATCTACTCAACTACTGGGTATAAATCCAATGTTCATGCATTTACACTTCATTGGAATATTTCCTATTGATGAAACTTCATACGTCTCTACTACATTTCAGGTGCAAACACTATACTTTTTACTGCACCACACTGATCTTACAGAAGATAGTATGCAGATTCAGAGGAACAAAACAACATATAACCAACAAATAAATGATCACGTTATCACAGGCTGTGATCAGACTTTATTGATCCCCGGTGGGAAACTCAGCAGCTACCCAGCAGGATGGAAAGTACTTTACAGTATGAGTATAAAAGGTAGTTAACATAAGCTCCCCCTTTACCAGCTGCATAATATGAACACAACTAAAGAATTGCATTTTCTGAAGAAAATGCGTATGGATGCTGAGTGCTGAAAGATTGCCCTGAAAATGCTGAACATTTTGACACCTGAATGGTTTTACTAGCTGAAATTATGCTGAATTAGAATTTTCCCATTCAATTAAATGTGGCAAGATTTTTAAAATAAAGCTAAATATTTTAAATGTATGAGGTTTATAAAAATTCTGAAGAGAAGCAGGAA